CGTCACGGGCCCCAATTCAGTTCTCATCCCCATGTTTACCATGTCATTCCTTATGTTAACGCCATCCTTAGACTTTCCTTGTATATTGAGTAGCGTACCTATAACGCTGTCAAATACATTTTTTTCAATATGCATAACATCCAGGAAATGTCTTACGTACAACGACTTCCAATATGGAAGTTCAAAGAAAATTGACTTCTTCTTCCACCCACCCTTGACAATTGAATGTGCAAAAGGCTTGCCAAACTGAGTGCTCACATCTTTCACCTTTTCAAAAATTTGATCACCTGACAAAAAAGGCGGGGCTGTACGATGTTCGGCCTCTCCATTGAATGCTTTTCTCCACCCACGGTAGTGATGATTAGAATTTAAGAATCTACGATGGCCGAGAAAGACATTCTTCTGACAAAGCGCCAATCGTGTCGTATCGGTTTCATCTTCACAAACAGGACACGCCTTTTGACCCTTGTTGCTGTACCCGGATAGATTTCCGTATGCTGGAAAATCATTAATTGTTCCAAACAACATCGCCCTCAAGTTGAAACTTTCTTTCCTATACCCATCGTAAACCTCCACACCTCTCTCCCACAAAAACTTTAAATCTTCGATTAAGGGTGCCAAGTATACGTCTATGTCATTCCCTGGTTGTTTAGGCCCAGAAATTAGCATAGATAACATCATGTACTTACGCTTCATACATAGCCACGGAGGTAACTATACAAACTCAGCATCTAAGCTTACTACTACTAAGCCATATGCTGGATGTTAAACAATATCTAAAGAGCAATATTAGAGACATTGATTGATCTATCTATTTCAAGCATATTGAAAAGAAATTCAAAAAAAGATATATAATATAATGATATTCACCAAAAAAGATATATAATATAATGATAGGCCAGTGGAATTGCAGATAAGGGTAGGATCAATACTGAAGAAGGTTCATATTTTGAAGGCAGGGTGTTCGAAGAGAGTGAAAAGTAAAGGGATATATAAGGCTTATATGCCTGGGAGAAGTGGAAGCAATGATGTGGGATTGAAGAGTTTGTTGTATTACTATGATGAGACTTGTCAACCTTATATATGGATTCATGATGTAGGGGGTGGTTCTTTGAGGATGGTGAAACAACAGTATGTGAGTCTTGAGGATTTGAGGGAGTGTTGTGAGATTAGGATCTTGAGGGATCAACATAAGGGTTGCATTTCGGTTTGTAAGAGAACTAGACCTGATTTATGCTGAATTTGAATGTCACACTATCTAGTCTACATTGTTTGTTATGGGTGGGAAATAACAGTTTCATTTCTTGATTTTCTGTTTTCTTTTATTGTGTGTTATGAATTGCAGAATATACATATCCATTGTCATGTTTGATTGTTTTATTATATGAATTTTCTTGGAGATATAATATAGGCCACATAGGTTATAATATTACCCATTATAAAAACAATGAAATAACAAGATGTATGTGATTACTGATCTAGGATTCTAGTTGATACTACTTTTCATTGTTCATGTATTGTTTAACAAAAATACAATGGCACCTGCTGGTTACTACAGCAAATACATTCCCTCCCCATTCTTGATGTTGTTTTGGAAGGCATGTCCATGACTTTCATAACTGGAATTCCTAAATTGCACAGATTCAAGGCCATCCTATTACTTCCACTACTAATAGGGGACTCATTTAAAATTAGAACAAAGTTCTATATAGACCGTCCCTAACACATAAATTATTAGCACATAACATAATTTGATCCTAAAAGCTAGAGAGAAATACACTCTCATGTCTCAAGCCTTTCCCAAGAGATCAACTTTGCCTCCCAATCTTACGACTGCTTGTAACCCATTATTATTAGTCAAGCTGTCATTGGGTGCGTGTGTTCCTGCCAGTTTTCTTTAATTCTTGGATTATCAAGAACTCTCCTTGAGATTCTAACATAGGAGTTAAGTTCTCTTCATCTATTTCTTTCCTATTGAAAAAAGAATCATTTTTTCTACTCTTCATTATCACTTTTGTGATGCATAATCAATTAAATAAATTAACACAACACAACAAAATCTCAAAATTATCTAAGTTCCAATCTTACACATATTAGTAAGTACCAATTCTCTAAATTCCAATTCCACTACATTATAGCGCATTAAAAATATAACCACCTCTAATATAAACAAATTCCTTCTACTCCTAACAAATTAAAAAATAAACACTACCATTTTTCTATTAATGTCTTATGTAACTAATAATTAAAGTTTACAAAATTTCAACTTCTAAGACACCAAACTAAAAAAAATTATCACATTATCACAATACAAACACAATACTTCAAACCAGAACATCAACTTAATAAAACAAACCAAAAACACATTATCACATTATCACAATATTATACTTCAAACTAAAACACCAACCTACAACAACACAAGATTACTTCAAGATTAATTTTTAAAAACAATGTTAAATCTTACTTAAGATTTAAGAGGAAGGAAGCAAGTTAGATGAAGAAGATGGACTTCTAAAAACCAGTTCGTGAAGGCCTCTGGAGGATTGAGATTACTTGAATGAGAGAGATTACTTAAGCAATTGAACGAGAGAAAGAAATTGTTCTCCTGGAATGCGAAAATATCAATTGGTTAGGGTAAACAAGAACAATGACATTAGTTTCTTTGACATTAGTTTGAAGAAACTGTTGAATGAAGAGTATAAAAATACACAAGTTTCCTTGACATCCATCACAAATGACTTACTTAGTGAAGCATCAAAAGATAGTGATACCTTAAATCTTGAGAGCTTTAGCTTGTTTGTTGTTGAAAACAATTGAAATGGATAGTGAAGAACACTGTAAAGATCATTTTCATTAAAGAAACATTTGCACAGAATAAACATGTCATGATTAGGAATATTCAGCATTCAACAAGTAAAGAGGAATTAGCATCTGGGTAGTGAAGAATTGATGATACCTGATGATGATAACTGAGATTGACGCAAAGCTTTTCACTTCTAAGATACCGGAAATGGTGGCATAGCTAGAGGAAGACAGGGGAAGCTCGTTGTAGGTGTACTGGAAGGAGTTGATGGAGCGGAATTGTGGTTGGAAAGGGTGTAGACGGTGGGGGTGACCAACGGAGGCTGAAAAGCTTAAGACGAACGGCGGCGACGGCAATGAGGAAGCTCTGAACGAAAGAAATGAGGAAGACTAAAGAACAGATTTAGGGATTTTTAATTTTAATATAAAAACAACCTACGAAAGCGCTTTTAAAAAGCGTTGGCATAGGGTACCCTATAAGAGCGCTTCTGAGGTAAAAAGCGCTTTCGTAGGTCCCCCTATCAAAGCGCTTTTCAAAAGCGCTGGCATAGGGTTCCCTATAAGAGCGCTTTTCAAAAGCGCTTTCGTAGGTTAGATATTTCAAATACCTATGAAAGCGCTTTCTGAAAAGCGCTTTCGTAGGTAACCCTATGCCAGCGCTTTTAAAAAAGCGCCTTCGTAGGTTTCCCTTTTTTTTAATTTTGTTTTTTGTGAAGGCTATGGCAGCGCTTTTTCAATAAGCGCTTTAGTAGAGGCGCTGCTAAAACTTATTTTTGGCGTAGTGTTAGGACAAGGTATACTCATTATGAATATTCTGTGATGTCGTTCAGTGTGACCAATGCACCTGATGTATTTATGGAATACATGAATATGATTTTTCACCAATTTTTGGATAAGTTTGTTGTTGTTCTCATTGATGATATTTTGATCTATTCGAAGTGTGAAGAGGTTCATGTCAAACATCTGAAGATTGTGCTATCTGTGTTGAAAGAGAATTAAAGAGTGAACTATCTGATTTGAAACAAATATTTTAAATAGTTAAATTATTTTAATTTGATTCGTGTAAAAAATTACTCAATCCGTCTCAAAATAATTGTCATAGTTGATTATTTCATACGAATTAAAAAAATATGATAAATAAAAGTGAAATAATAATATTTTTATAAAACTATTCTTATTTATTATTAGTGTATTTGAATGATCATAGATACGTAGTATAACAATAATAAGTCAAGAGTATTAATTAGATGACATGACTAAAAGATAAATATTAAAATTATATTGAAAATTAAAAACAACACTTATTTTAAAATAAATAATACTACACCTTGGGACAGAGAAATACTATTAATTTCTTTTAAACTATTAAAGAAGAAAGAAAAAACTATAAACATTGGTGAAGACGATTTCAGTCAAAAATTATTTTTTCCAAAATCTAATATAGTGGTGGTCATCCACTTGAAGAGAATGAATGAGTCGCGAAGGTTCTCCTCTAAATGTGAAAATATCTATCAATGAATCAATTATTGGTGTCCACAAACATACTGTACAATTCATGTTTGGTATACAATACTAGTTGTAACCATGATGAACAAGTTGCATGGAACAATCTAGAAACAGACAAGTTCAAAAAACAAGTCCAAGTTCACCTCACTCGCCATCCTTTATACTACCATACTATACTTTTCCACCGTAATATATGGAAGCTTCATAAGAAAGAAACATTAAAAGCATAAAAAGTTAATTACAATAACTATACTACTCTCTCAACATACGGGAATATTATTGCACAAATAATTAAATTTTAAATTACTATATTTAAAATTTGATTTGCTTAAATTGAACTTAAGATAAAGTAAATATTCCACAAACCTAATAAACATGCTCCTACTATATATTTGATGGCCAAGTGGCAACAAAACAGAGATCACACGTTAATGATTCGGTATATTCACGCGACTAATAATCTAGCTTAATTAATCACTTACCTAAATTATATCTCTAATCACGCGTAACGCTTTACTTTTCAATCTTTTCTCAGCCTTATATAATAACCTTCATTCACCTCTTCTTCTCATAACACAATAACTCAAAGTTAAAATCTCTCTTCTAAATCGATTTCTTAAACTGTGGAAAGCACTTATTTTCTCAAATCAATTACTGAGAGGAAAAAAAACTTTCCATAGTTCTACACA